CCGGCCGGCTCCCTAAAGATCGCTCTCAAACCCTGCCGCCACCAGGAAAACGGCCCCAAAGCGCACGATCCCACCCGTTCCGCCATTTCCAGTTCCACCCGGCCCCGCTTCAGGCCGGGGGAGAAGGCACGGCGAGAGCAAGGCCGTCCCTCGCCTGGCAAATCCGCCCGGAGGCCCGATCCGGTCTGCTCGTGGGGAAGACGCAGGCTCAGGGAGCCCCGGGAGCCCCTCCGGCTCCTTCCTTCGGCAGAGATCAGAATTTGAAATAAATAACCGTACACACAGCAAACCTGATCTCGCCCTGCTTCCAGAACGACTCTCCTCCAAGTCGGTTGCGTGTTGCTTTCCCATAACAATATTTTAGTATCCAAATATTTGAATAAGATTGCAGACTAGCATCTTAACAAGTAAGCATGGGTTAAAAAGGAGATAACAAATCGAAGGCCTGGTTTTAAGTGTCCTAGCCTTTAAGCTGTCGTTCTGTGGCCTCAGCTGAGGTTTGCCAGGAACGAGGGCGACACCTGTAACGAAATTTCTGACCGATGGTGCCACGCAGCCAGCGGCAGGGCCCGAGCGTGCAAGCGTTAGCAGGTACTAGGAGAAGCGGTGCTTTCTGGTCTAATTTGAGAGGACTTGGCGATACATTTGTGTGATGTCACATGGGTCTCTTTTTGTTTCCATACCAGTACGGCTGGTAGCCGATAGGAAAATGGAAACGTGTGGTCCTGGGAAAGTTTAAAAAACAAAACAAAACCCACACTGTAATGGTGTCATCGCTTTGTTGTGACTTCAGACCTGCATTAGCAAAACATTACAGCTGCAATCACAGCCACATCTAAATTTCCGTATTTTTACTTCCTTCCCACCTAGTACTGTTGATTTCATCGGAAGCTGCTATTTTACGGAGATCTGCAAATGCAAACTGAAGAACATCGCGTGTTTAAAGTGGTGAGAATGCCATTCAATGACACTAACGCCTCCTCAAGCACGCCGCAATACTGTTTAACCTTCTCACTGTAGACTGCTGCAGTGCAAGAGTTAAGGGATGAATGAACAGATTGCATACTCTATTTCAAATTTAATGCTGCTTGATAGAAACTCAGCCCACTACTTCTGGGCACGGCTGCCAGTCTATTTCTGTGCAAGTCCCAAGTGGAAATGTGACAACCTTGTCAGTAGTCTGAGTATATGGGAAAGCTTGCATGCCACCTGTCTGATTAAATGTCTGCTTCAACACTGAGATAATTGTGTGAATAAGGCCGCAGTAAGAAGTAGTTACTCATATTCTAATTAATAGAACATCCTCTTGGCAGATCTAGTTGTTGCTAGCAGATGGAACATGCTGTCACTAAAGTTCTTGGAGTTCTTTTATCCTCTTTATTAATGCCTGATATTTAAGAGTAAGAACAGCAACTCTCAAATAGCTCACAGTTATTTCAGATGATCCTTTCAGCTTCATAATCCAGACTTTTACCTTGTTCAGACTTAAACGGTGGGGGGTTGTGATGGGAACACAGTAATTTATTTTTTTAGGCAGAAGTAGAGAAACAGAAATATCTCACCAGAGCGCATGACTGAGAAAGTAGAAAAATGGTTGTTCTAGGTTTCAACCTAGGAGAGTAGATAAGGCTTCGACAGTCTCAGTCTCATTATTCCTACTACTGATACTCTCCCGCGTACAGTGCTTCTGTACAGATGGATTTTATGTGCGTGATGAACTTCTATGTTGATTCCAATGGAATCACAGGCCTTCCAAAAAAAAAAAAATACAGTTTGTTGGTATGTAAACTAATTTGGATTACACAATTTAGGTTACTAAATGGTTCTCTTTGCCAAAGATCTAAAACTTAGATATTCTGTAACTCCTGATAGATGTTCCCTACGTATTTAAGGTGCTTGTTTAACTATGGTCCCTTAACTTTATCAAATAGGAGCGTTACGTAATGGTCTGGTACCGTGGCTATCTAACATTAGTTTGAGCTGGAAAAGCCAACAACATCTATCTTTTCATCAGGCATTTGTGTTGCTCATTATTTCACTTGTCTTTCTAGTGGTAACATTGTCGGTTATCATGTGATTTCTCCCTGCAAACCCTGCCTGCTGTCCTGTAATAATGGCCACTTCTGGATGTTTCATAGCCAAGCAGTCTTTGGCATCAACAGACTAGACCCTTCTGGTAAGGAACACATATGTTTCCTTCTCTTCCCTAAACTCTTGAATTCTAAGTCCTCCTTCTAATGAGGCGTCTCGATACAGTTAAAGCATATGGAGGGAGTGTAACATATGGAGGCATAAGGCAGGCGTTACTGTACTGCTAATCTAGCAAGCTACTTTGGGGGAGGTGGTTGTAACTACTTTGTAAATGAAAATTTCTAAGTGGAAATATATCTTCATCAGAAAACTTAACCTACCCCTTTTGTGGACGAAGTCAGGATTTTCTGAAGCAATATTATAACTAGTATAAACAGAGCCACCAGCTGCTATTTATAGCGGTATGTATAGCTTTACTGGGCTATTAGGCAGCTGTCCAACGGGCACTCTTTTTGGGTGAGTCATGTTGTCGCTTTGACCCTATATAACTGAGTCCTCATTAGCTCAAGCTGAAGTTACAGCTCACGCTAGATAGTTTCTTCAGCTAGGTGTTGTTTGGATGCCAAGTGTCTGGCATAATTTGCCTTGAGTCCTCAGGAATGCATAGCGTTCTGACAGATCACTTCTCCTCCTTGCAGATGGGAGTAACTTATTGTCTAAACCTTTCAGTGTCACCTGTGTTTCAGATCAATACATTTAAAAAAAAATCAGCCATGAGGGGATTATCAGTAGCTACGTGAATTAGCTATATATAAATACATCTGTGGGCAGGGACTTATTCTTTGAACTATGCTGTAAACAACAATGCTTACAAGATCGCTTTGGGAGAAAAATAGGAAATAGGCTAGATATATTTATCATGAACATGACTTACCGATTTTGCAATGATTAGTTATTTTCTCTGAAAATAGACGGTTGTGCAACTTAAAAATAAGGTCACAATCCAAAAATATTTTTTTCCTCCTTTGTCTTCTTACCTCCTTCCCACCAGGTGTGAATGTATTGCTCTGGGGCAACTTGCCAGATTTGGAGGAAAGCACAGATGAAGATATGTCCTGCATCTCTGAGGAGGAGTACATCAGATAAACGTTAACTACAATATACTACAGTATCTTCCCTAGATTCATTGCATTGCTGTTTGGTTTGAATTTTTTTTTTCCTGCTGGCACATCAGAGCTTAAACAGTACAGGAAACCAGGAAATCTGGAAAACAATCCTAAAAAAGGAAGGTGGTATCTTCCTCTTTCACTGGAGCCTTCCTTGGACTCTTGAATCTGCCTAGTGTGTATCTTCTGACCAGAGACACGCCTTGGTTAGATCTGGAAATGCAGATGGAAGCTGCATTTGCTGAGGTCTAGGTCTGTTTTGTTTTTTACATTTAAGTCTCAACAGTTGATAATCCTTCTTAACTGTATCTTTTCTTCTTTCCTAAAACAGTATTCACAGAGCAAAGTCTTTCAGTTGCTGTAAGTACAGCTTAAAAATCTTAAGAAGTAGTCAGTCTGGTTGACTAAGTTCTGCAAGAGCTCTGCCTTTGTGGCCACGCAGACCACTGCCCAGGGCTTCTATTCTGAGTGTACAGAGTTGCTGAACAAGCGGCTTAAAGTGTTGGAGCTTTGGCTCTATGATCTGGCTCTCCTGCTTTTAGCAGCTTGTTCTCTGGGCACCTGAGACATGCTAGGATGCTCCTGCATGTGGACTGGGGAGCTATCTTACAGAGTCTTCCCATCTTCATCTTTCAGTACTTTTAGGATCATGTTTCTGTAGAGATCAAGGTCATTTCCCCCCCCCCCCGATAAAACCTAAATACTGAAGTTACTTAACTCTTAAGTATTATAACTTCAAGATTACATTAGAGGTTTTTATTGAGGTCAACAATAAAATCCATCCAGTTCTATGTGGGTTTTTTTTCCCCTTATAGGACAGGCATCCCTCCAAAGCAGAACTCAGCCATCCAATTGGGTCTTTTTAGAGAAAGAAAACAAAAAAAAGAAATCAGGTTAAATATTTGGTGTTCATGCCTAACCTTACATCCTGAAGCGTACAGGCAATCTGGTTCCTGTAAGAAGTAATGAATTCAAAGCTCATTATCCAAGTTGTTACAGCCATAGTATTTAACATATGAACTAAATACTGTCCCCTTCAGCTAGTTACCTGAAGGATCACCTTTAGAAAATTCAAGGTACAATCACATAAGAGAACAGAGTACATTTTTAAATTTGGACTGATGCTGAATAAATTGTTCTATAGCCTTTTGTGATACTTGGAAGAGGTGCAATGAAGGCAGATCTGAATTGTCTTAGTATTTTTACTGCATGTTATATATTTCTGAATTAATGGTACTACCTCTTCTGCATTGTTTAAATGTATATTGGTGTGTATATATATGTGTGTGTGCGTCTATGTCTTGTTTTGACTTCCTGTGTATTGTCTGCTCATTAAATAAGTTTTGGACTACATAGTCTTCGGGGCTGTAATAAATATGGATGTGTAATGATATCAGGTAATCAAAACAATGAACTAGCATCTTGTATTAAAAACCTAGTTGAATAATTAGGTTCTTACTACGATTTTGTTTTAGAGACCCCCCCAAAAAAAGTCACCTCCTTTTTAGACTGACAAGCGTGACAGTTTCTCAGCCTTAAAGGTGTTTAGTCAGTTAACTCTTCTATAACACAACATCCCATTTTTTGCCAGTTTTCTATGCTGCATGAATCTGATCATGTTGTGACTACAGTATTAAGCTGGCAAAGTGACATCTCACACACAGATTTTTCCAACAGAATTCATGAGCTAAAAATACAACTGATTGTTTTTGTATAAGTAGCACAATAGTTCAAATAAAATTCCCATAATATAATTCTGCTTTGTTGCAAGTTCAACACTTGCCATTTATAACCTTCACAATTCCGAGTCAACTCTGTGTCAGTGGCAGGGCTGACTGTAGGGCCATTCTCCCACAGCACAGAGGACTATAATTTCTTCACATCATGTCAATAATTCTGTTTTTGCTCCCTATCTGCTCATACACATAGAACTGGAAGTTCTGCTATAAACTACTTTAATTACACAGGCCTGTTTGAGCTAGTTCATCTCAACCAGGCATCAGCTTGAAATAAAAAATAAGCCAACTTTTAATAAGTTCAGTACTTTTTTTTTTTGAGGATAAAGAAAGTTGTAGGTATTATATACAAAGTAAACAAACATCATCTATTGCTCCAGCAGTCATGAATGTTACCAAACAAACTAATCATGTCTAGGGCTACTCCTGTTCTTTTCCATCTGAAACTAAAAGAGAACTGACTAAGCAGCTTGTGGTAAAGCCACTGCTCCCTATTCACAGGGCCCTAATGTTTTGGGTTAAGTTTCCGAGGATCACCCTGCGTAGGGAAATACTTTCCAGGTTGATAGATATATCAAACACTAAACAGCTGGCACAAAACCAGATCAATATTTCTAGAAACACTCGCACGTACTTCACCCCACCCAAAGCTTCGTTTGAAATAAAACAAGTCGGGTCTCTATGGGTTTTTTGTTTTCTCTATACTCTTCGACATACAAGAAGACATGTGCTACGTATGTTGTAGCACAACCCTGGAATATGTTGTGAATGATTTGGAAGGTGATGGTTGCAAAGCATTTGGTATAATAATGCTGAACATTAAGGCAGGTAACTTCCAGAACGACTGTATCGGCAGGATTCAGCTTCCCAAAAGCTCCATGGTCAGTCTGATACAGAAAACGCCGGGTAGCTGTTGTCATCTTTGGTAAGGATCTTATAGTGAAAATTTACGTGATCTTTGCTGTGCAGCCAACGATGTCAAAAGCAGAGCACAAAGCTGAATAACAAGAACCGAGTCCTAAGGCCTTTCTCTTCTGCTCGTTAAGGTACACAAGGCAAGTAATTAAAGAACTTCAGTGTCTCTAATCAGATCTGGTTGTATTCAGAAGGGACTGAACACCAGGCAAAGGATCTTACATTTTAGACTCAAAGTCAGTGCTTCCACAAGGCTTCCAAAGTCTCCTGGCACTAACAGCACAGCTGAAATTGGCCTTAATGCCCATGGTATTGCATCTGCCGCGGGGCGCTCATCGGTCACACAATGTGCCGGGCCCATTCCCAGCAGCTATAAGACATTGTGTAATACAGACTTGTAGGTTCAGGGTAACAGACTTGTTTGGATGAAAACATTTGAAAGTAAAATTCCAAAAGCCACTGAGGATAAATAACTTTGATTTGATTTTTAAATCACGGGGACCTGCGTAATCACGCTGCCATCGACGGTCAAGCATTTTCTTTCCTGCAATGCATAATCTGCAATGCACAATACTAGCTGGAGGGGTAGGAGAAAGTCATACCAAAGACAGTGATAAATTGATTCCCCTTCATATTAAATAAAACTTACTAGAAAAAGCACATTTAAATATTCTTCATTATTCCAGTACAGATTAATGCCTAATCATAACCTCACATTTATGTAACACCATTCATCCCAAAGTGCTTTACAATGACAAACAGTTAAAAATTCTTTTACCATTGAACTGCAGCCAACTCCAGGATGCAAAGCGGCTGCCAAGTAGACAGCATGCTGCAAGGACCCTGGTAAGCATCGTTCTGTAATGAAATTCAGTATGTGATCTCTATCAGTACGAACCGATATGTTGATTATTGAGGGAGGTTCAACTTGAAAGACACTCTCTTCTTAACACAGCCTGGAATGCAGTTCATCCACTTCGAGCCAGATGACAGACGGGTCACCTCTCCTAGGACAGAACCTGGAGTCCCAGGGTTTGAATCTGAGAAAGAGTCCTATGATAAGAGACAGAAATTACTAAGCTATCTTCTATTTTCTGCTCTTCTCTCTGGCATGCAAGAGCCGGCATGCTTTCTAAAGCCAAGTAAAATGGTCATTTATTATAAATCACCCAATTACTTTGTCATGAGAGGTCATTGTTACATATTTTATTACATTTGCAGTCTGTGTGGTTTCTGAAAGCATACCCCAAGGAACAGTACATATCCCAAGTAAACAGCCTTTGTGTGCTATTATTTGGATTAAGGGAGTGTCTGCAGGCTACTATAAGTATAACAACTACGGGTGCCTATTGTGCAAGAAACTGTACGAGCACAGCGACGTGTAGACTCGGAGAACTCGCACTGTAAACAAAGCAGCCAAGGGATGGTAAGGGCACGGCACCATTGCCTCTATCAGAGATCAGAGGTAAAGCCTGACCTGTGCAAGCCTGAAGAGGAGACTCCTTAGCTCCAAGACTACGACAGAGAACTGAGCCGTGCCTCTTCCTGCAGCTATGGATCACTTCTTCCTATTCCAACAGGCATTTGCAAGTCTATGAATAGATTCGTCTCTTCCAGCACACATACTCGATCATCTCATACTTAAAGCAAGGATCCTTCTCTATGCCAGTGTTTCTGGATTTCTGCTGCATTATTAGGTTTTTCTCTTGCTCTAGCATACAAAGTGGGTATAGGCTCTAGCCAAACACCCATAAAAAGCCTACAAAGAAAACAGGTTATTCCAAACCTGTACAGATACAGCATTCAAAGACCCGAGAGACGTGCTCTTCAATTTATGCAGTATACAAGAATGACAAGAGAAAAGCAGGATGCCTGCCTTAAACATCTCCTGTGAAATTAACTCCAAGTTGTTGATGCACCACCCAAAATTCCCTCTTCTCATCAGGAAATATCAACTGTGCTGTTCTCTGACAAAGCATCAGCATTTCCAAGCAGCTGTTAGCCAGGGGAACATTTTAGCTGCTTTGCTGTCTGCAGTGTCTCTTGTCATCTTGCATGCGTGACACAAGCTTAACAAAGTGAGTCTGCACTCTATTGATTTCTCATTAGAAAGCATGCCTCACATTTTGGACAGCAATGAGGGGAAAAAAACAACAGGGAACAAAGCTGGTCAAATAGAAGCCAAACAAAGTCTCTGGCGCTTCACTTCTTATGTCATCTGAATGCTGACAGCTTGATGTCTCTGGGTAATGCCACACAAGGGAAATTAGCACCCTAGCACTCTTAGGTACTGCCATCTGCATGTCAACGTATGTAGAAATTTGTGCAG